CATTTAGTAGCCATCTGGGTTGTCAGACGACTATCGTGGTATCACAGTGCTTGTGTTGAAGTAATCCTTATTACTTATTACTTAATAGTGGCCCCAAAGCACAAAAGTAGTGATGCTGGCAATTCGGATATGCCAAAGAGAAGCTGTAAAGCACTTCCTTTAAGTGAAAAGGAAAGTTCTTGACTTAGTAAGGAAAGAAAAATATTGTATGCTGAGGTTGCGAAGATCTAGGGTAACTTTCATTACAGTATATTGTTATAATTGTTCTATACTTAGTTACTGTTGTTAATCTCTTACTTTGCCTGATTTATAAATTAAACTTTATCATAAGAATTTATATATAGGGAAAAATATAGTACATATAGGGTTTGGTACTATCCCTGGTTTCAGGCATCCACTAGGGGTCTTGGAACATATCCCCTGTGAACAACGGGGAAGCAATGTATAAATGTTCCTATACCCAAAGAAAATATCCTTCAAAAGTGAGGTTGTAAGAGGAGGGAAAGCTCAGAAAATTTGTCACAAGCAGACTGTACAACAAAATATGCTGAGGGAGCTCTGCAGACTGCAGGAGATAGTGTCAGAAGGAGACGTGTCTCCAGGAAGAAATGGAGAGCACTGGAAACGCTAAATGTGTGGGAAAACACAGAGGACAGTCATTTTCTATAAAGGCAAACTGACTTTCAAATAAAAAACATTTTATTACGGGGTTTAGGACACATGTAGAAGTAAAATAATTTGACAATAGAACAGTGCTGTTTTAAAATATGTTGCGAAAGTATTTGACACTTCCTTTTCCAGACTAGCGCCCCTCTCCTTAGTCATTTGTTTCTAAGGAATGAAACACAGCAGAGGTGATGCTATGTGAGTTCCAAAGGAGGTAACAAAAAAGTTAGCTCCTACCTGCCTTACTCTCTCTCTCTCTCATCACTTGCTCTGTGAAGCCATCTGGTAAAGACACTCAGGCAGCAGCCTGTAGAGAGGTCCAGGGAGGAAAGACTGAGCCCTCACACAAAGAACCAGCACCAACTTGCCTGCCATGTGACTAAGCCATCATACATTCTGATCCCTCAGCCCCAGTCAATATCGTCATTGCAACCCCCAAGGCAGAACTACCCACTGAGACCACTCTCAAAATCCTGATCTGCAGGAATGATGAGGATAATAATTTTTTTGTTTTTTGTTTGTTTACTTGAAAAGGTAACCGCAAATACTTAGGATACTTTAATCATATTTTTCCTTTCTTTTTATTTTTATTTTATTTTTCCTTTTTCTCCCAAAGCCCCCTGGTACACAGTCGTGTATTTTAGTTTTGGGTCCTTCTAGTTGTGGTATGTGGGACGCCGCCTCAGCATGGCTTGACGAGCAGTGCCATGTCCACGCCCAGGATTCGAACTGGCAAAACCCTGGGCTGTGAAGCAGAGGGTGCAAACGTAACCACTCAGCCAGGGGGCCGGCACCGCTTTTCCATTTTTATAGAGATACAAAACTGTATAAGTTTAAAGTGTACAGCATAATGATTTGATTTACATGTACTGTGCAATGATAACCACACTAAGTTTAGTTAACATCCATTGTCTTATACAGATACAAAAAAAAGAAAGAAAAAGAAAAGAAATGTTTTTTCCCTGTAATGAAATCTCTTAGGATTTACTCTCTTAACCACTTTCAACTCTACCACACAGCAAGGCTAAATATAGTCATCACGTTGTACAATACGTGCCTAGTACCTATTTCTCTCGTAACTGGAAGTTCGTACCTTTTGACCACCTTCCTCCAGTCCTGCCTCTCCCCACCCCCCACCTGTGATAACCAAAATCTGGTCTCTTTTTCTATGAGTTTGGGGTTTGTTTGGTTGGGGTGTTTTTTAGATTACACATATAAGCGAGATCATATAGAATTTGTCTTTGTCTGACTTATCTACATAAATCCATAGGTCCATCCATGTTGTCGCAAGTGGCAGGATTTCCTTCTTTTTTATGATTTAATAGTATCCCTTTGTATATATGTATATACACTACAATTTCTTTATCCATTCGTCAGTGGACACTTAAGGTGTTTGCATGTCTTGGCTATTGTAAATAATGCTGCTATGAACGTGGGGGTACAGCTATCTCTTCAACATAGTGTTTTCATTTCTTTCAGATATGTTCCCAGAAATGGAATTGCCGGGTCATACGGTAGTTCTATTTTTAATTTTTTGAGGAATCTCCATGCTGTTTTCCATAGTGGCTACACCAGTTTCCATTCCCAACAGTGCACAAGGGTTCCCCTTTCTCCACATCCTCTCCAGCATTTGTTATTTCTTGTCTTTTTGATGATAGTCATTCTGCCAGGTGTGGAGTGATATCTCATTGTGGTTTTAATTTGCATTTCCCTAATTATTAGAGGTGTTGGGCACATTTTCATGGACCTGTTGGCCATTCGTATACCTTCTTTGGAAAAATGTCTGTTCCGGTCCTTTGCCCATTTTTAAATTGGATTATTTGTTTTTGCTATTGAGTTGTATGCTGCTTTATATATTTCGGACATTGTTAAGCCCTTATCAGATATATGGTTTGCAAACATTTTCTCCCATTCCATGGGGTGTTTCTCTATTTGGTTGATTTTGTCTTTTGCAGAAGCTTGAGCCAGTCCTGCTTGTTTATTTTTTATTTTTTTTGGTAATGCTTTAGATGTCAAAAAAATCATTGCCAAGATCCATGTCAAGGAGCTTTTTTCTTATGTTTTCTTCTAGGAGCCTTAATGGTTTCCAGTCTTACATTTAAGTCTTTAATCCATTTTAGTAAATTTTTGTGAGTGGTGTAAGATAGGGGTCCAGTTTCATTCTTTTACATGTGAAGATCATATTTTCCCAGCCCATCTTTCCTCTATTAAATATTTTTGGCTCCCTTATCAAATATTAGTTGACCATATATGCATGGGTTTATTTCTGGGCTCTTGATACCACTTCATTGGTCTATGTGTATGTTTTTATGCCAGTACTATGACATTTTGATTACTACAGCTTTGCAATATAGCTTGAGATCAGAAAGTGTGATGCCTCTTATTTTGTTCTTCTTGTTCAAGATTGTTTTGACTATTCAGTCTTTTGTGAATCCATATAAATTTTAGAACTGTTTTTTCTACTTCTGTAAAAATTGCCATTGGAATCTTGATAGGGATTTCATTGAATCTATAGATGGCTTTGAGTAATATGGCCATTCTCACAATATTAATTATTCCAATCCATGAATGTGGGATATGTTTCTATTTATTTGTGTCTTCTTTAATTTCTTTCATCAAGGTCTTGTAGTTTTCAGTGTACAGATCTTTCACCTCCTTGGTTAAGTTTATTCCTAAGTATTTTTTGTTTTTGATGCTATTGAAAATGGGGTTGTTTTTCTTTATTTCTTTTTCAAATAACTTGGTCTTAGTGTATAGAAACACTACTAAATTTTGTATGTTAATTTTGTATCCTGCTACTTTACTAAATTCATTGATTAGATCAAACGGTTTTTTGGTGGAGTCTTTAGGATTTTCTATACATAAAATCATGTCATCTGCAAATAGAAACAATTTTACTTCTTCCTTTCCAATTCTGATGCCTTTCATTTCTTTTTCTTGCCTGATTGCTCTGGCTAGGGCTTCTAGTGCCATGTTGAATAGGAGTGGTGAGAGTGGGCACCCTTGTCTTATTCCTGATCTTAAAGGAAAAGATTTCAACCTTTCACCATTCAGTACAATGTTAGCTGTGCGCTTTCATAAACAGCCTTTATTATGTTGAAGTACATTCCTTCTATATCCATCTTGTTAGAAGTTTTTATCCTGAACAGATGTCAAATTTTGTTAAATGGGTTTTTTTGTGATAAATGTTTACTGCTATTTTAAGTCAGTAAATTTTGGGGTGATACGCACACGAAGGCTGAGGGGAAGGTAAAGGGAACCCAACTGTGTGAAAGTTTCTACAGTTTACTCAAAGAGGCACAATATTAAGTAACTATGATAAATAATGGATATTGTGATCCTTAGGTTAACAATTAAAAATAATATAGACAGTTACAGGTAAAAGATCAATAGAGTGGAAAAATAGAATACAAAAAAATTTGATTAACCAAAAAGAAAGCAGACAAGGAAAATCAGGATAACAAAAGAGATGGGATAAACAGAGATTTAAAGGCAAAATATGGGACTTCAACCAACCATATTAGTAATTACATTAAATGTAAATAAACAGTGCGTTCTAATTAACATTCTGAGGTGTTCAGACTGCATAACTGAACAACACCCATTATATGAAAGTAAAAGGATGGAGAAATATGTGCAAACAGTGAGCATGTGGTTATGTTAATTCCATAGACATACACCTAAAGATGAAGAGCATTAACGGAAATAAAGAGGGACAATTTACAATAAAAGGTCAATTCACCGGGAAGACATATCATAAATGTGTATGTAAAAAACAGAGCTTCAAAATACATGAAGCAAAAATGGAATCAAAGAGAAAAATAGATAAATCTATCACCATAGCTCAAGATATCAACACACCTCAGTAACTGATAAAACAACTACAAAGAAAAACAGCAAGGAAATAGCAGATTTGAACAAAACGATTGACCCACCTGACATGATTGAAAGTTATAGAACACTGCGGCCCAACCCCACACCATACAAAAGCTTTCAAACGCACATGGACGTGGTCTATATCTTGGTTGGTTACTTTGTTATACATTGGTCAAAACTCATCAAATGTACATTTAATATCTGTGCTATTCACTGTGGGTAAATTTTGCCTCAATTTTTCTTAAAAAAGGGATCAGCCAGTTTAGGATTTGGTGATCTCTCAAGATAGGCAGAAAAAAATCAATGTGATCAGGAAGAAAAGTCTTTGATTGGGGGGAGGAGATTTCAGGACAAAGCTTCTCTCTCCCTCCCCGGATGTGGGCCTTGAGGTATCCTGAAGACCCAGCTCCCCTGCCCCAACCCTACCCCAGACTGGCGTAGGCAAGATCAGCCCTCACCAGAGACACCCTCCAGTCAGCAAGAAACAGGACGCTGTCTTCTCCACAGCCATGGTTCAGGCCATTTTGGGCAGGGGGTTATCCTCCAGCACCTCTCATTCTAAACAGTCTGGAGAGATCTTCAGGGTTAAAATCTGTGGGGTGTGGAGAGAAGGAAGGAGGAGGGTCAAATATCTTGCCCGTCACCAGAACAGGCCCCACTTGTCTGCACACTCAAGTCTTACCTAGTCAGAAATATTCCCCCACTCTTCTCCTTCATTTTCTTTTTTTCTGCCTTCCTTGGTTTGGATCAAAACCAAAAGACACAATCAAAAGATGTGAGTGTGGGTTTGGGCCCTATGGCTTCAGCAAGGCTGTGGGACTCAGGTGAGCCATCACTGGCCTTCTCTGGAGCATCGTTTCCCCATATGACCCTCTGTTCCTGACAGTGCTTCTTGCTATTCCTGAAGAAGATTGGGAGGACACTGGGAAGGAGGGAACCAGCAGAGGTGAGAGGGTGTCTGACCCTAAATGCCATCTGGTCTTGTCAATCTCCTGCTTCAAAACCTGTGGCCGGCCGCTGGTGGGGTTCTTCATGGTGTGGCCCAGTGCCTCCTCCAGCCTCAGGTCCACCAACATCACCCCCAGGGACAACCACGATTGAGGCCATACCTGGAATGCCCCAGCACAGCAGGCTCCCTCACACCTCTGTGTCCTCCTACAGAGCCACTCTGTGTGGCAGGCCTGCATGGCCCCACGCCACCCCACTGGACTGGCTTGATGCTTAAAACATCAGCTTTGATTATTATCCCCCCAGTCCCCTCTCTCAGCACCCCCTGCTGATATCTAGTAAGCAAAGTTGGCTTCCAGCCTTCCACCATTTAGACTGACTGCTCCACGTCCTTTAAAGGCCAGAAGACTCATTTCTTCAGCCCAACCAGCGCTACTATGAGAGTTATGCAGAATATAGAAAGGCAGTAACAATAAACAAGAGTTTTCTTTCCAGACGTAAAGTAGGCACACTTTTAAAGCCACTTGTCATCATTCTGTTCTCAAATTACTATAGAATTCTGCTTCTAAAATTTCTTCTCATTCGCGGGGCTGGCCCAGTGGCATAGTGGTTGGGTTTGCGTGCTCTGCTTCAGTGGCCCGGGATTTGCAGGTTTGGATCCCAGGAACAAATCTATACACCGCTCATCAAGCCACGCTGTGGTGGCATCCCACATAAAGTAGAGGAAGATTGATACAGATGTTAGCTCAGGGACAATCTTCGTCACCAAAAAAACCCCAAAACAACAAATTCTTCCCATTTGGGTCTAGAATGAGCTTTTAAACTCATAAAAGATAAGAAAAACAAGAAGAAAAAAAAAAAGAAACCAGAGAGGTATGTTCCTCTCTTTAAACAAAGCAGCTGTACATCAACAGAAACCACTGCAGGCTGCCCCCTGTCCAGCTCACAGCACTGTCTCACCTCTGGGGCATTAAGTGAGCCCCATGAGGTCCCTGCAGGATGCTCTGTCAATCTGCTTGGGATGTGTGGGAATAAATTCCACTGTGCTGGGCCGAAAAGGGAGGGAGGATTCTCCTTCCTGAGAAAACAACAGGGAAACTGGGAAAAGAACAAAAGGAAAATGTGAAGCAAAAATAAAATCCAAACCTGGTCCAAAACAGGAAAGGATTTTAAGACCGGCCATTTTCTTTCCATCTGGTCATTCTCAGCACAGTGAGAAAGCACTGGCCTCAGGTTGAATTTTAAGATTTAAAGTTTTTATATGGCAGAGAAAGGCTTAGTTTTGTCTCTTATTTTTACTGAAATGAAAAAACAGAAGGGAGTAGAGGAATGGATATGAATCAAGTCACATCACAGCCCCGAGTTACACAAGAACGAGGTAAAGATATCTGCACACAAACACACTTGCCCGTTGACCCCCTGTGGTCAGACAAAGTTATTTTCTGCTCATGGACTTTGAGGTCCTCAGAAATAAAGACCATGCCTCTCTTACTTATCTGTGAGGTCTTAGTGCCCAGCACCAGGCCTTATTCACAATAGGTACTCAGTAAATGGCAAGTGGGTGGCTGGCTGGCTGGCTGGCTGGCTGAGTTAGCCCTGAGAAGTATCTGGGAGGTAAAGGAGAAGGAGGTATAGACAATCCATTCTGAACACTCAGCAGTTCACGAAACGGACCTTCCTTTCGACTGTAACCACGGGCCCTCCAGGACCAGTTCAACTGACCCCATCTCTCATCAACAGTGATTATGAATTGACTTTCAGAAAATCTGCAAAGTCATGGAGCCAGGGCATGTGCAACAGAAGAAACCGTGACCTGAAACAACCTCAGAACCAAAGATCCTCCTTCCTATGGAACCCAAGGATGGGGACAGGATCAGAACTTGAAAGGGAGAGTCTCATCAGAAGTGAGGGGCTCCTCATTCAGGAAGATCCGGTGTGAAAATTGCTTCCCCACCTCATCAAAAATGTTTAGAACCCCATCAGGTTACCACAAATGCCTCAAGCCCACCAATCAAAACCTGTCCCACAGCATCTCCACGTGCAGCTTGCTCTCCCTAACCTCTTAAATTTCTCCCCAAATCCTGGATCAGGGAGACAGATCTGAGGGCACAGGCCCCCTCGCCCCCTGCAGATCGATCCTGCAGAATAAAGCTGATCTCTTTTCCCAAAGGCTGATGCCATAATTAATCGGCTGTTCATGCTCATTGGGCAGAGACTTTGTACGGTAACACAGTCATCCTCAGGAGGACCTTTGAAAATTAGGTAGTGGTCTAAGTTCTCAAAACGTGAACTCAAATGAATTTTAATGACCTGGGCCGATGGAGCTGAATTTCTCATTTTTACCAGTGGTCAAGGCCAACAAAATCTTGGGTCCAACTTGGATTGGCACCATGTCCAATGGTAACCAAGGACCAAGGAAGAGCCATTAGTAAACCAGTAGGAATGTCCTCACATTCCATTATCTCGCAAAGCATGAATCAGTATTTCCCCCTGTGATTCCAGCGGATGCAAGGACTTAGATTCAACTTCTGTCTGTCAGATGTGACAGAGATTCCAACAGTTTGCCAACCCAAGATCCCTTTCTCTCTTACCAAAAATAATCTCTGTTTGGGGACGGGTGACAATGGGGATACAGCTGAAAAACACATTCCCCAATATCCCTTGCAGCTAAGGGTGTTCAGTGAAATAAAGAATAATAAAGCCTTAGTGGCTTAAGCCTTTGTTTTTCAGAGCTTTGTTACTTGGAGCCAAACCCATTTCCTAACTGAAGCTCTTGATACCCTGGGTAATCAGTTTGAAGAGAAGCCACAACAGAAGGGAGAATTCTAGCAAAGTCCAGGAAACTAAGCAGGTAAATCAAGCGTCTAGAAGTTAATGGACTGGTTTTAGATCAGAAGTTACACAGGAGGGGACCTAACCATCTGAATGAGTCCTATCCATTCAAAGTGGTTACAGCGTGAGGCAATGCTGCCATTTCCCCCAGTATATTTGAGTCTTCTTTAAACTGTCATCTGAGATAACTTACAGGCTGCCCAAGTCCATTGTCTTTTATATTCCCACCCCATTTGGGGTCATTAATGGCACCACCAACTTGATAACTCATCTCATTGACCAGAAATGGCTCTTTCCAGATGACTTTGGACTATTTCAAAAAATTCCTTCAAAGGATGAATTTTGCCACCACTGAGGGCATTAACATGGAATCACTTGTAGGCTGATCCTAGATCATCTATCTGCCCTTTCCCAGCGAGACTACACACGATGGGAAAGCCACCAAGAGAGAGCCCTTGAACAACCACGCCTGTACCCGTGAAGGCTCTGTCCTCTGTGCCACTCAGAAGTTGAGATTTTGCTGTTGGTCTCCTACCTCCAGTGCACTTTGAGCCACCTCGATGTCCGGGTTCGTTCCCTTAGCCCTCACCCTGTCCTGTCTCGTCTTTTATGGCCACTAAGTCTGACTCACGATGGGCTCTCCTGGAACATAACAAAAGGTCCAGAAAAGTGAAGTTCAGCTAGTCCTGGCCAGGACCAGAAGAAAGTGGTGTCCGCAGAGCAAAGCAGGGCAGCACTTGTTCACAGGCATCGGGGGTCCTAGGGACAAACCAAGAGAGATGTGTTACCTGGAGAGGGAGTTTGAAGAGCTGTCCCACAGGAGGGAGAATGCCAGCGAAGGCCAAGACACTAAGCAGATAAGTCAAGTGCCTAGAAGTCAATGGGCCGCTTCATCACAGTGGAAGGTAAAGAGGAGAGGAAGGAGCCGGGGAACCAGCAGGTACTGGGTAGTGTGGCTGGGTTGAAGGCTGATTCAAAACAAATCCCAAGCTTCAGATGCCAGCAAAGATGGAGTGAGCCCACTTTAGCTTATTCGTCCCATTAATTACGGCTAAAGACTCTGGACAGAATACAAAATACCCGAGGACTCTGAAAAGTAAACAAGAGCAGGGGATTTGCGGAAGGAAGTCAAAACTTGAAGAAGGAGCAACACAGTAGTGAGTTTGCTCATTTCCTTCCTTCGTCTCCTGGCTTTTACCTAAATGGTGGGCCAAAGGCAGAACACAGAGAGCAAACAGCAAAAACTCCACGTGACGTACTCTTCCTAGCCAAAGGACCAGGAGCCTGAGAGCGTGGGAGGAGCCAGCCTTTGTGCCTTTCCTTTTTTCTTATTTTTCTGTGTTGGCCCCAAAGCCAGCCTCAGTTGCAAAGCCACACTGCTTCTGTCACTGCAGCACGGGCACCTAAACCTGAGAAAAACCCTGCCTGCCTGGCCGGAGGAACCAGGAAGAGGGGAGCCTGGTAGACAGAGATGGTGGGAGAATCCTGGTGAGGAGCCAGCTGGAGGCAGGCAGCCCCTTGTCATGTGAATGAACCCATAAGGTCCTAGGCGCACCCCTGAGTTGCCCACACGAGCAAGAGACCCAAAGAGCATTTAACAAAGGTTTTGAAAACTGAACTGCAATCGAAAACAGCCCTAGAGCTTCCAGACTAAGCCCTGAGTGGTGCTTGCCCGGCTGTCGCAGAGCGCGGAAGGGCTTTGCAGTCTGAGCTGACACCGGAAACGCCGCCACAAAGGTGCGGCCGGACTTCAGGCTGACCCTGACCAGTTCCTTCCCCACCAAAACGAAAAGACTAACATTATCCAGAGGAATTTCTAGCGGACTTTATTCTTTAGAACAATTTTAGGTTCTAAAGCCAGCACCCAGTTTCCTCTATTATTAACATGCTGCATTAGTGTGGTACATTTCCAATATTGATACATTATTATTAACTAAAGTTCATAGTTTACTCAGATTTCCCTGGTTTCCACTCAACTTTTTCCCAGGCCGCCACCTCACATTCCGTCACCATCTCTCCTCAGCTCCTCTCGCCTGGGACTGTTTCTCAGGTCCGTTTCCTGCTTGTGATGGCCTGGGCAGATCCGAGGCTTATTGATCAGGTAGTTTGTAGAATGCCCCTCAAGGGCAATGTGTCTGATGTTTGTTTCATGATTAGATTCAGGTTATGAAGTTTATGTTTTTGAGATAAAATTCATATAAAATAAAATTAACCATTTTAAAGTATACAATTCAGTGGCATTTGGTACATTTACAGCGTTGTGCAACCATCATGTCTATCTAGTTACAAAACATTTTCATCACCACAAAAGGAAACCCCACACACATGAAGCAGTTTCTTCCATTCCTCCCCTCTCCCCAGCCCCTGGCAACCACGAGTTTGCTTTCTGTCTCCATAGATTTACCCATCTGGATATTTCACATAAATGGAATGTGACCTTTGGTGTCTAGCTTCTTTCACTTAGCAAGTTTTTGAGATTAATCCGTGTTGTAGCATGTTATCAGTATTTTCTTTTTTTGTAATAACATTCCACTGAATATATTCCATTGTATGGATATACCATATATTGTTTATCCATTCATCTGTTGATGGAAATTTGGATGGTTTCCACGTTTTGACTATTGTGAATAGCGCTGCTATGAACATTTGTATACAAGTTTTTGTTTGAATATCTGCTTTCAATTCTTTTGGGTATATACCCAGGAATGGAAATGCTGGGTCATATGGTAATTTTATATTTACTTTTTGAGGAATCATCAAACTGTTTTTCAAAGTGGCTGAACCATTTCTCATTCCTACCAGCAATGTGCGAAGGTTTCAGTTTCACTACAAACTTGACAACATTTGTTATCGTCTGTTGTTTTTATCCCAGCCACCCTAGCGAGTGTGAAGTAATATCTCATTGTGGTTTTGGTCTGCATTTCCCTCATGACTAATGATGGTGGCTATCATTGGATGTACTTCTTGGCCATCTGCATATCTTGTTTGGAGAAATGCCTATCCAAGTCCTTGGCCCAACTGTTAAAGGGGCCTTTTGACTTTTTGTTGTCGAGTTGGAAGAGTTCTTGATATGTTCTGAATACTAGACTCTTATTAGATATAAAGTTTGCAAATATTTTCTCTTTTCACTTTCTTGATAATGTCCTTTAATGCTCAAAAGTTTTTAATTTTGGTCAAGTCCAATTTATCTATTTTTTTCTTTTTTACCTTATGCCTTTGTTGTCCTATCTAGGAAACCATTGCCAAATCCAAGGTCATAAAGATTGGCCCCTGTTTTCTTCGAAGAGTTTTATAGTTTTAGTTCTTACATTTAAATACTCACTCCATTTGGAATTAAACTGTGTAAGTGGTATGAGGCAGGGGTCCAATTTCACTCTTTTGCATGTGGACGTCCAGTTGTCCCAGCGCCATTGGTTGAGGGGACTATTCCTTCCCCCACTGAATGGTCTTGGTACACTGGTCAAAATCAGTTGGCCAGTGATGCGTGAGTGTATTTCTGGACACTTATTTCTCTTCCATTGATCTATACGTCTGTCATTACACGAACACCACACTGTTTTGATTACTGTAGCCTTGTAGTAAGTTTTCAAATTTGGAAGTATAAGTCCTCCAATCTTGATCTTGTTTTTTTTTATATTGTTTTGGCTGTTCAGGGCCCCTTGCGATTCCATATGAATTGAGGATTGGCTTTTCTATTTCTTCAAAAGGCTGTTGGAGTTTTGACAGGGATCGTGTTGAATCCGTGGATTGCTCAGGGCAGTCTTGCCATCTTAACGGCACTAAGTCTTCCAATTTACGAACATGGAATGTTTTACCATTTTTAGATCTTTAAATTGTTTCAGCCGTGTTGTATAGCTTTCAATGCACAATTCCTACACTTCTTTGGTTAAATTTATTTCTAAGTATTTTATTCTTTTAAATGCTATTATAATGTAATTGTTTTCTTAATTTTTTTGCATCATTCACTGCTGGTGATTTTTGTGTGTTGACCTTGTACCCTACAACTCTGCTGAGTGTATTTATTAGCTTGAGTAGTTACGTGTGTGTATGCGTACCCTCTAGGAGTGTCTATGTATAAGATCATGTCATCAGCAAATAGAGATTATTTTATTTATTTGTTTCCCATTTGGATGTCTTTTATTCTTTCTTTCATTTTCTTTTTCTTTTTCTTTTTGCCTAATTTCTCTGGCTAGAACTTCCGATACACTATCGAATAGCACTAGTAAAAGTAGGCATCCTTGTCTTGATCTTAGGGGAAAAACTTTTATTCTTTATCATTGAGTATGATACTAGCTGTGAGTTTTTCATAAAGTCTTTTATTCTGTCAATGACGTTTCCTTCTATTCTTAGTTTGTTGAATGTTTTTGAAACTTTGAAACATGAAAGGGTATTGGATTTTGTCAAATACTTTTTCTCCATCAACTAGGATGATCATGTGGGTTTTTTCCCTTCCTTTTATTAACGCGATATATTATATTGACTGACTTTTCACACGCTGAGTCAGCCTTGATTTCTTAGGATAAATCTCATTTGGTCATGATGTGTAATCCTCTTAACATGCTGTTGAATTCGGTTTGCTAGTATTTTGTTGAGGAGTCAAAGCTCGTCTACATTTACAAAGGATATTGGTCCACAGTTTACTTTTCTTGTGGTGTTTCTGTTTGGCTTGACATCAGCCTAATGCTGGCCTCACAGAATGAGTTAGGAAGTGTTCTCTTCTATTTTTTGAAAGAGTTTGAGAAAAATTGGTGTTAATTCTTCTTTGAATGTTTAATAGAAGTCACCTGTGAAGCCATCTGGTCCTGGACTTTTCTTTCTTGGGACATTTTCAATTACCAATCCAATCTTTATTTGTTATACATCTGTTCAGATTTTATATTTCTTCTTAAGTCTATCCAGGAGATTTTAACAGAAACTAGAGTCTCACAACATAATATTCAAAATGTCCAGGATTCAATTCAAACTTAAGTGACATATGAAGATCCAGGAAAAGGTGTCCAACTCTCTAGGGAAAAGACATCAAGGGCCGCAGCCCTGAGACGACCCAGATGTTGGCATCATCAGACAAAATCCTCAAAACAGCTATTGTAACTATACTTTATGAGGTAAAAATGAACACTGTGAACAAATGGAAAGATAGAAAATTTTAGCTGAGAAATAGAAGCTATAAAAAAGAACCAAATGCAATTTTTTAAACTAAAATAAATAATATCTTCAATGAAAATATCTTGGGTAGGCTCAATGGCAGAATGAAGATGACAAAGGAAAGAATCAGTGAAGCTGAACACAGATGAATAGAAATGGCACCAGCTGAAGGACAGAGGAGAACACAGAGAAAGACGAACCAGCACCAAACAATGTCGAACGCTCTTACATTGGGTCATCGGAGTCTCAGAGGAGGGGAGGAAAAGTTTGGTGAAGAAAAAAGATTTTGAAGAAATAATAGCAGTAAATTTCCCAAATTTGTGGAGGACCTAAATTTAAAGATTCAAGAAGCTCACCAAAATGCAGTACGAAGAAAACCATACTCACACTCATCTAATCCAATTGCTCAAAAGCAAAGATCAAGCAAATGTCTTGAAACCAGCCAGAGGAAGCAACACATTACACATAAAGGAACAATTGGAATCACGCTGGATTTCTCACCAGAAACGATGGAGGCTAGAAGACAGTGGCACACGTCTTTAGCTACTAAAAGAAAATAACCATCAACCCAGAATTCCATATCGAGTGAAAACATCTTCAGAAACTAATATTAAATAAATATATCCTCAATGATTAAAAATCGAAAGGATTTGTCATCAACAGACATCAACTAAAAGGATGCTAAATAAAGTTCTATAGGCTGGAGGAAAACCTGTAATTTCAGGAATCAAGAAAAGGCAACCAGAAGAACAAAAAACGGCAGAGGGGAGACAAACCAAAAAGAAATGATAAAATAGTAAATGAAATAATAAAATAGAATGACTCTCAAATGCATCATGTTAAGTATAGAAAGCCCAACTAATAAAGTTACATATTAAGTGAGCCCATTTATGAGACATTCCGGAAAAGGCAAAAGTAGAGGCCGGGAACGGACCAGTGCTTGCGGAAGATGGGGCAGAGGTGGCTGTGATTACAAAATGACAAAACAAGGAAACGTTTTTGGTATAATGGAAGCGTTCTGCACCTTCTTTACGGTGGCGATTAC